GGGTGGGAAGGAAGTGCGCATGATAGTCGCCTTTTCTCCTACGCCACTAGGAATAGAACACAGTGTTTCCCTCACCCACCTCCAGGTTTGTTCATTTTACTTAAAACCTCGCGAAAATTACATTAATTATTTTTAATTGGTACTGTCTTTAATAACAGGAAAGTATTATTTGGTAGACGCTGGATATCCGATGTTAAGAGGCTACCTAAAGCCATATCCAGACACAAGATACCATATTCCTGATTTCGAGCGAGCAAGTGGCAATATTCGTGGCAAAAAAGAAATGTTTAACAAGCGACACTCCGCTTTACGGGGGGTTATTGAAAGAACTTTCGGGGTGTGGAAGAAGAAATGGGTCATTCTACGTGATATGCCATTCTATTCATTTCCTAAACAAGTGTATATTGTGTTGGCCACCATGGCACTTCACAACTTCATCCGACGTCACCCCTCTCATTCAGATACGGACTTCAATATCAGTGATGATGATGAAATTATTGATACTCTAGAACCTTCAGGATCTCTAGCTGATAATGAGATGGACTCGATTGAATATGAAACTCAGGATGGTGAGGGTGCAGTTGAGATGGCTGCTCTGAGGGAGTCTATAGCAGATGCTATATATGATAGCTAATCCAGCAAGTCTTTCCTCTGTTCCTACATTAATGTCAAATTTACTTTTATTTGGATAAGTACTAATATTTTTTTTTCACAGTTATACAAACATGACTGCTAGGATATCAAGTACAGACAGAGGTATTTTGTGTTATTGTGGTCTACCGGCTCCGTTGCTCACATCGCGTCAGTCTCGTAGCTTTGGGAGGCAGTTCTACGGTTGTGCCAAGGGTGTTTCAGCTCGTTGTGGGTTCTTCCGGTGGGCTGACAGTCCCTCATATGACACGGCCAGCAGTCATGGGAATCCGGTGTTTTCTGACTTTGACAGAGCAGATGAGGACAGACGTAGCCAGAGTCTGAAATTAAACATTTTAATATTTCTGATTCTAGTTGTACTCGTATTTGTACTTTTTTTAGTTATCTTGGTACTCATGAGGGTGTGAGTAATGTATGACATCTTCTACTTATGATCTGTGATGATTTCATGTTTCTGCATATGATCCAGTACTATCAGTAAGCTATTCTGAATAAGCTGCCCCAAACAGTTCTATTACAAAGGGGCATGAATGTCATTTAATCATCAATAAGCCATCTTGAATAAGCTGCCCCAAACAACAAGACAGATTATTCTGATAATCTGCAGATTATCAGATTATCAGAATCATCTGCTTATCAGCAGATTATTAATAATCAACAGCTGCGCCAAACAGACCCTAAGTTGAAATCGAGAGCTGGGAAGCTTGTTGGCTGCTGTGGGAGACTATATATAGGCAGTATGAAAGGTGACATGCTTGTCCCCACATAGGTCGTTCACTGTTTGTACTGATGCAGCCGAACTTTCAATTAAATTTGTTTCAAATTTTTAAAATTTAAATTTATTTTAATTCTGTTTAAAATTAAATTTTAAGAATAAAATATTTAGGCAGTAGGTTATCAAAAAATAATAGTGAATCTGCTGAAAAATAATCTTATATTCAAAAAATAATAGTGATTATTATATTTTTCTTTCTAAAATGTCAGTCTACAGCTAAAAAACTGTCACCACACCTAACTAAAATTGGTGTAAAAATGCATATTTCACCGACAGTTTTTTGAAAAAACTGTCAAAATGCAGTTTAACAAAACAAATAAAACTGTTGTGTGGTGTCACACCGCCATCCCAAACTTAATTTGAGATAATTTCTTTAAAAGATTTTTTAAAATTATAAATCGAATTGTTGTTTATAAAAATCATGTAACTAGTTTAGATATAGATACTTTTTAATTAAAGAGGAATTTGTTGTTTAGTTGATAGCTATGGTCCATAAAGAGACTTGATCACCCCACGCTCACCTCCACTTTTTATTTTTAAATGGGCCAATTACATGCATAGCCCTCAAAACTCTGCTATTTACAAAATTAGTACCATCTTTCATTCATTTTTTAAACTTTCACTCAAATATCAAAATTCAATATAAAATCCCGACTCATATTTTTTATTTTTTATCAAATTCCCAATGATCTGATCATGCCGAGTAAATTCAGTAGTTCAAAAATTTACCTGCATGTTGATTTTGTAAAAAGCAATGTTTTAAGTGCTTTGAATGTAGTTATCCCTTATTTTATTGTATTATAACATATTTATTTACATCATGTATCATATATTATCGTTGGATTATCTTAATCATTTTGGCAAGCCAGTTACATTGATGCAATTCAACCGTTGATGACAAGTCATAATCGGAGCTAACTAGATTAAAGAGGCATTGTTGTGGCTGGTGAGTGTAAAGGAGAAGATGAATTAGGTCATTGCGGATTTAAGCTTAATCTTACGAATCCCCAAAATTTTCATTTTCTCCTTGACAAAATTTATGTTAACTCTTATGCATACCAAACATTAAGTTAGAAATAATAAATAGGCCACGAAGTAGGAGCGCTATTTACATATGTCATACGCACGCAATTCTGTCTGCGTATGACGCTGAATAACCTTTTAATAACTCAATTATTGGGGGTTTATAAGAGTTTATTGGGTATTAACCCCAACAAAATCTCAATAAGCTCCAAATAACTTAATATCTCATCTTTTTTTACTGCGATCATGAGATTATTGAGGGTACACATGACCCCGCAATACCCTCCCAACGGAACTCTGCGTGCATTTAAGTTCATCGAAGTATACGGCTTCGGGCGAGTGAATTTTTCCCTCAAGACACCGGACGGTCCTCTACATCTGCAGTCCAGTTAAATTCTGCCACGTGGAGTTACAGGTCTCGCATTTCCACGTAATAAAAAAAATGTCGCGCTGAAGCCCGACCCAGTCCGATGTCCCCGCGTCTTTTCGAGTATCCCACCTTTTAGAGTGTCGAGAAAAACGTTTCGAAAATATATTTTAGGAATTTTTCTGCTAGGGTTTTCTTCGTTCGCTCTGCTATGGTTTCACATTTTTTTCGTTTGATAGCTTCGAAGTCGTAACACGATGGAGTTAGATGATCCGAAGAGTACGCATGCTGAAGAGCTGACAAGAACACAATCAGAAGAGGCAGAAAGGACATACGTTGAACAGCCGACGAAGTCAAAGAAACGAAGGAAGAAGGAGGCAAAAAGGATGAAGAAGGAGGGCATTGAAGAGTAAAACTTGTCCCGGTAAGTGTCATTTTTTTTCCTGTTATTTTTGTCGGATTATAAGTTATGTTTTGTCGTTTAGTTATCTTAGAGGGCATACGGTTTAGTGTTGAAGGTTTTTGGAGGTATTTTCAGCTTATTTATGGGTTATTCATGGTTTATTAGGGAATTTATTCCTGGGTTATTGTTAGATTATTATTGGGTTATTCTTGTGTTACTCCAAAGTTTAGTATTTATTGGCAACCATTTGCTCATTCACATGTTATTTTTAGGTTATTTGTGGGTTATTTATAGGTTATTGTTCGATTATTTTTAAGCTATTCGTGGGTTATTTTTAGGTTATTCGCTTGTTTTTCTACAGTTTATTCCCCGGTTATTTTTAGATTATTTTTAGGTTATTCCCCGGTTATTTTTTGGTTATTCGTGGGTTATTTTTAGGTTATTCGTCGGTTTTTCCGCAGTTTATTCCCCAAATTTTTTTAGGTTATTTGTGGGTTATTTTTAGGTTATTCGTGGGTTATTTTTACGTTACTCTTCAGTTTTTTCTGCAGTTTATTCTCCAGTTATTTGTAGGTTATTTTTAGGTTATTCCTCGATTTTTCTGCAGTTTATTCTCCGGTTATTTTTAGGTTGTTTTTTAGTTATTTAAGGATTAGTTTAAAGTGTATTCTCATGTTATTCTTACGTTATTAATCAGTTAATATTGGGTTATTATTGATTTAGGGAATATCCATGCAGTTGTTGGTTATTATTATGTTATTCTTGACTGATTGATGAGTTATTGTCAGTATTAATAAAATGTATCTTATTCCTATAGGTTGATGAACAAACAATCTATGAATTGTAGATGTCGTCCATCAACAGTAAGAGAAGTGTTGGACAAGGTTCGACCAATTGTCTCTCAGGAGACATTGTCAATTCTGAAAAAATTGAAGCTGAATCAGTTTTTTGAACTCCCCTTATCCTCAAGATCACATCCTAACTATGCACATATTGAATTGTTGAGATATGAATATATTGACATTCAGAATGAGGGGGAAGGAGCTAAGTTTTGATGCAGACCAAGTTGCTTTGTTGATTGACATGCCCAACAAAGGACCTACAGCAACTTAGAACAAAAAACCCATCAGTGGTGTGGATGTCAGTCGATCAAAGAGTGAACTACTGAAGGGGTCACTCGGAGAGTCATCCACTTCACTTAATAAACTTAATATTAATTTTTTGTTGTCTAATTTATTCTTTCATACCAGCAATTTTAGTGTACCCACAGAGCTATATTCATTTGTTGAGAATTAGATACTTTCTTCATTTATTGGGCCACAACGGTATGTGACCACCTCATTGAGCAACTCAATGTCTGCATCATCAAAATAAGGATGGATCAGTCATTAGGATACTTGAACGGATTTGTTTTTCTTCTAACGGTTAGTTTATTATCCAACCCCAGTAAATAATTATTTTTTCTTATTTAGGTAATATGATTTCCTAATTTATTTATGTTTCTGCAACTGTGGTTTTATGAGCGCACAATGGTGATAGCCCCGGCTGTTCCTGACGTCAGACCTTGCATGTTGAGGTGGCCAATAAATACAGGCTGAAACCCTGCAAGGATCCATTTAGTCTTTCAGAGGCTGACTACTGTACAGGTGAATAATATTAATTTCTGTTATAAGTTCAGGGTTATGTTTTGTAATTTATATCATTTAGTTATTTATTTTATTGAATGTACTTGCAGGTTCTTGATTCATTTGTTGATTTAAGAGATGACAAGCACAGTTTACTTGCCCCTCGAGTTGACTGGATCTCATGTCCTGTAAAGTCCATTCCAGAACCCGCAACACACACTAAACCACTGACACTAGATTCTGACATTGCTATCCCTTTTGTGCCGATTCACATCATCCCGCAACCTACGCATTCAGAGAGATATTCAGGGACCAATATGGGTTTAGCAGGGATCTGTAATATTCTTAGGGAGAAACATAAATTTTTATTTCAATTTAAAAATTTTGTAAATAACAAATTAGATAAAATATAGTATTCAATAGTGGAGGTGAAGACCGACATCAAAGAAATAAAGAAAAGATTAAATAAAGAATCTCGTGTTGGTTCTGAAATTGATGGGAAGAAAGAAAGCCCAGCAATGGAAGAACAACCACTTGTTTATATGAAGGAAGCGAGGGAAGAACAGCCGATAGGGAGAATGGTTGCATTTGATGAAGCCACAGCTGATTTTGAAATAGGAGAAGAAATCAATAAAGGTGACTGGGAACATGGAAAGGAAGACATCCATGAAGACCCTCTTGGTAGCTTAGTCTAAATGATTAAAGTCTAGAGACACCAGAAAAAAGAGGGCAGTAGTTTCCCCATTCATTGTAGTAAAGAGAAAGAAAATAATAATGGCAGAAGAAGAATTGCTGATTACCCAACCATATCCTGAGATCGATGAAGCTGGGGAACAGGAGGCGAAGATAAGTACAATAGAAGTGGCTGAAGAAAAGCAGAAGGAACAACAGGGAGCAATTGTTGTATTCGAAGGTGCCCTCCCTGATGTTGTTCATGCAACACATTCAGTTGTGGACTCTTCAACCATAGAGTTCCCTGACAGAGAACTCATACCCCCACACATGCAAAAGGTCATAGATACCTACTTGAAGAAATACCAAGCTAGGTAAGCAAATTCATAATACTTTTTTTGTCTACTGCCTCAGTTCTGTAATAAATCTAATAAATATTATTTCATCAAAATGCAGAGATGACATAATAATTGTTATGGGTCATATTCATATAAGTTGAATGTGCATTGAAGTGCTTTGGAATAATCAAGAAGTGGGCACAAAACATATTGATATGTTTGTCATTGAATTGGAGAATAGTAGGTGTTAGTCACCCGATTCTTTTAGACCCTTTTTATATGTCTCTCCAGCACACTAGGTAAGTATCGATAATCCCATCAATTGTAGTGATTCATGCTCTTGTTAAACTTATTAACTCATTTAAACTTATTGAAACTATGGAGATGTACAGAAACCATCCATTGTGAGATATTGTTGCCCACGTAACAATGGATGTTGTTGCTCAAGCAGATGTCATTTTAGTTTCAATAATTAATAATGGTCATTGTACTTTACTTGTTGGGAATCAGAAGGAACGCAGATGGAGATTCTCTTACTCATTGCCTAATAAAATGTGTTTGGGAGTTACCCGCGACGTGGTAAGCAAACTAAGCCTTATTTCATTTATTATGTAAGCAATTTTTTCCTTTGTTTATGTTTTAAATGATTTAAATTATCATCTCTATTACCAGATTAAACATCTTCACAAGGACGTCAGGGAAGTTTTCCTTAATGACTCGACTAAATGGGATGTTACCACGACCAGAGGCCTTCCCACACAAAATAATAGTGTTGACTGCGGTATCTTTGTTTGTAAATATATGGAAACAATTGTACAAAAAGACATAATTGATTAGAAAGATAAACAGAACTGGCGGGCTGATATGCCTCGGTTTAGAGTAGAGCTTGCATATGAAATGTGTAGATATAATTATTTGGATGATATTTATATGATTGTACTTTTCTGTAAATATGTTTGAAATATTGATAGTAACATGTTGATAAATATGATTGATTTGATTTTGTAAATTATATGAATAATTTGGATGATAAATATGATTGAGTTCTTTAATGAATGTTTGTGTGATTGTCTTTTTTGAAGCACTAAAGTATTACTACATATGACTTTGTATTTGCAGACTTATACATAAGCTGAAAATACACTGATAATAATATAAAAATATCATAGAAATAACTTGAAAATAATCTGACAGTAATCTGAAAATACCCCAGCAATAAGCTGAAAAAACATCTCAAATAATCTCGCAATAACCTGAAAATACTCTAGCAATAATCTGAAAATGCCATAGAAATAACCTGAAAATAACCTCATAATAACCTGAAAATAACCTAAGTTATCGTCATGATATTGCTAAGTTATTTTCAGGTTATTGCTGGGTTATTTAGGAGGTTTTTTCAGCTTATTGCTAGGGTATTTTCAGCTTATTGCTAGGTTATTTTCATGTTATTTGGGAGGTACTTTGAGGTTATTGCTAGGTTATTTCATGTTATTTTTATGGTATTTTCCGGTTATTTTTAGATTATTTTCATGTTATTTCTATGATATTTTTAGCTTATTACTATGATATTTTCAGTTTATTTCTATGGTATTTTCAAATTATTAACAGTGCATATTTCTATGGTGTTTCCATATAATTGCTGGATTATTGATGTGTTATTGATGGGTTATTGCTTCATTATTGTTGGGTTATTGTTGGGGTTTTTCCTGGGTTTTTGGCCAGGTTATTGTTGGTTTATTATTGGGGTATTGTTAGGTTATTGTTGAGTTTTGGCCAGATTATTGTTGGATTATTGTTGAGGTACTATTGCAGGATTACTACACGATTATTTCTAGGTTCCTTACAATAGATTCAACGCAGATTTATCTAGTATAATACACATAACAAACATATCAAAACAATCATATGTACACAAAAACCTAAACATATATTACACAATTCTTTACAGATATTATAAGTGTCATTGTTATGTTAATAAAAAGGTGTTTTTCTCAGTTGGCTTAGATATCACTAATGAAATGCATCTGAATTGAGGTGTATGTTGGTTCTGGTGTGACATTTTCCTGTTGTAAATAGAAATGAATGTTAATGACCATATTTTAATGTAAAACCAGAATAATAGCGTGGGATTTCAGTTTCATACTTGACTCAGCGAATGTGACACTGCAATCATATTTGTGTCGTAATGGATCTGCAGTTCTTGGCTCGTGTATGCTTCTTAATTCTTTCCTACATACAGTGGTTCAAGTTAGAGAAAATTAATGTAACGTATAATAATAAATATAAGGAATGTAGAAATATATACTCTTAGCTTTCTTATTTTTTTCTCATTATCCTTTCAACCTCGTATTGGATAAACCTTTAGGTCTCATTTTTGCGGGATCATCCACAATGAACTCTCTGTTATGTGATTTTCTTTTTTTAGTTTTTTTTATTTGGTTTAGAATTTTTCCCATCTAATATATCCTCAACACATATAAATATTATTTTTAATGATTCCAGCATATATGTCTCGGCACGTTCATTCCCTCTGCTTTATTAATTAGTTGGTAGACAAATTTCTGAGCATGTGACCGAAATAGAAATCTACTGGAAGTTCTGTCAAATATTTGAGAGTCATTTATACGTTTGTATCCAAAATTATTGTATATGTTTTTTTTGTCTTAGCATACAATCTCAATAACAAATATTTCTCGGGAATTTTTGTTAAATTTACCGCATTAAAAACACGTAAAGAGTGAGCGCAAAGTAACCTCATCATTTCAAATTTCTTGCAGTTGTAGGTGATCTCACAATTAACCATATCAAATGTAACAATCTAGGCTCTACTCGTGTCCTAATTATCCAAATTCGTAACATAGAATTCAGATGGACTATCAACTGAGAAATCAACAGTTAATCCACATAGCCCATGCAGTAACTCTTCCTCAAACATGGAGTAGAGCTTTCGGGTGTAATATGTAGCAGCTTGCCTCAACACTGGGCTTATTTTACCTGTTGGTGTAATAACATTTCGAGAGCTTTTGAAGTCTTCATCCTTCTTGTTTCTTCTTCGAGATTTCATAATATTTTCAAGATCCAGAAAACAATCAATGAGAAAACTAGTGGGCTTAGATGCACCATGACATACATTATTTGTGGACTCACTTCTTTGAGTAGATAATATTCCCATTCTGAATATTTCCTTATTGAATATTGTTGATCATTTATGTCTTATATGGTACAATGAATTTAGCCACATGTTGTTGTGTATGTTTCCTCGCTCAATCATTATAGCCAAAGTATCTTCAAACTATTATTCGGAATCACACTTCCTCATACATATGTAAAATAGATTGTTAACGCTCTTGTACGCCAAACCACAATGAACTTTCGACGAAAATTTCTTATAAATATGTCATTGTCATAGTGTATGTCTTGTGAGTGGAAGACAATCATCAATGACTCTTAACATTACTTGATCTTGATCTGTAAAAATTGTAATTGGATGTTTATCATTCATTATTCGAATGAATGTTTTGAATAATCACTTGAATGACTCTATCGTCTCGTCAGATAAAAATTAAATCTGAAAAAAACGTTTTGCCGATGTTGGTTAATCCCTACAAAAGGTGCACAACATAAATTATTATTCAAACGGTAGCTAGTGTCAAGAATGACAACATCCCCAAAACAATCATAATTATGCCTACAAGACCCATCACTCCAGAAAAAGCTTATATGTCTACCCTCCTTATCACTTTGAAAGTCCCATGCAAACATGCTATCCTCAGTTTGTCGCTCCATGAATAATGGTAAGAGAGAGTTGACATCACCTTGTTCAATTCTACTTCTACTTTTCATTTGAATAAAGTTGTAGGCATCTTGCCTCGTACACTCCCAGTTTTCAACTCCCTCAACCTCTATAGCAAGGAAATTAAATGTGTCTGCTGCTCTAATCCCTGAACTTATCATTGATCTCAGCAAATCTGCATTTAACTCGCTAATCTTCCAACTGAAATGTAGAAGGTGCTTGTCACCGGATTCCGCCAAGGGGTGGTTATGAGTTTCGACAAATTTTTTTATTGTTCAGTTGCCATCAACATCAACAGCATAACGAATCATTGCTTGACAGCCAGTTCTTGTATCCGCTTTTTTGTACTTCACCGTATTGACAACTTGTGATTATCTCTTATGACATGCTTTTCCACAAATATAATCCTTCGACTTAATTTGCTTGGATTTAGTCCAATAACTGTTGTGGTCCTTGCGGACAGTGAAACCAACATTATGTGCATAAGCACAATAGTGTTCTTATGCCTCTACCTCATTATGCACAATAGTATTAAGAAAACTATGAACAATTATATCATTGCAATCATTTCCTGGCCCAGGTAACTACAAATTTGAATTATATCACAAAGATAGTCAGATATGCATATAATAAAGATTTTTTTAGGTTATTATTGGGTTATTATCGGGTTATTAGGTATTTCAACATTAACCCACAAATAATCCGAAAATAACATTGTAATAACTCTCAAATAAGTGTAAAAGTAAATATAAATAACCCTAAAATAACCTCAAAATAACCCCAATATATGTAGATAATAAAGATTTTTTTAGGTTATCCTTGAGTTATTATCAGATTATTAGGTATTTCTTCAACAATAACTCGCAAATAATTCGATAATAATATGTTAATAAACCTCAAATAAGTGTAAAAGTAAATTGAAATAACCCTAAAATAACCCCAATATATGCAGATAAGAAGGGTTTTTTAGGTTATTCATGGGTTATTATCGGGTTATTATCTATTTTTTCAATAATAACCCGCAAATAATCCCAAAATAACGTGATAATAACCTCAAATAAGTGTAAAAGTAAATGTAAATAACCCTAAAATTTATTGTTAGATTATTCTCGATTATTATTGAGTTATTCTCGAATTATTGAGAATTTCGTCAAAATAACACGCAAATAATTAAGCCCTAATCATAAAATAAACAAAAAAAATTTACTCACACAATCCAAGAAATAACTGAAAAATGAATTCAATTGAGCAATAAATCTCACATCCGCGTCGGACATTGTTTTCGTCGGACATTATTTTCGTAATGCATGCTAAGTATTTCTTCATCATCACGAGAGAAATCTATCTCCATTGCGTCTATATTTTCATTTCATTTAGTTCTAGTAAAAAAACGCCATTCTTCCTCTTCGCTCGTCCCGGATTTACCAAATCCTCCTATTCGATTCACAGGAGTAAATCCCGAATTTATGGCGCATCATTTTAAGATTTACGGGAGCTCAGGATTTACGGAGGCGGTTTTTGCCATTTGGCAGGATTTAGTCTAAATCCTGGTAAAACCTGCTGCCATAGATTGAATCCTGTTTAAATCCTGCCGCAAACAGTCTCCGGGGTTTTCTGTTCCTTCATCTCTTGACAAGCATGGCGCTTGAGGAGCTCACTCTGGCATCTGTACGCACGGAAGTTGAACAACATGGAAATTATGAAGTGGACGAGGAATATGACGAAGAAGAAGATTCCTGGTCATCGGAGTCGGAGGTGGGCGATGTGCTGGATTGGCTAGATTCAAAAGAGGGCACCGAGTGTCACAGCATAGGGGGCGCATCCTTCTCCGTCTCAGTGGCCCGGCGCCCTAATGCCCGAGATGGCCTTCTCCCTCGCCCGCTGCAACCTCTTTTCAATCGCAGTCAGAAGTTCGCTTCTCACATCCGAGGTAACCTTTTGGAGGTAGCGCTAGATGTTTTGTTCCATATCCATAGATTACGGATTTCATACACGACTATGTTGTCTCTCTCTAAAACACCATAAAATATATCTATTTTTTTCTCGTTGCAGCAACGAGTTCAAATTAATGATTTTGCTTCACTTGTTTCTTGTGACCACGTTTTGCTTTCTTCATCTCTTTACTTTCCGGTGTTTTTATGGGTTGACATTAATTCAGGAATGGGAGGGTAGAATGAATGTGGGCATGTCAAATGCAGTAGCAACTGCTACCCGAGACACTGTACGAGACCTTTGAGATTTTGGGCTGCTAGTGGCTGCTTTTCTAGAGAGCTAATGAGAATCTTCCCAGCCTTAGGGGTGTCTCCCATGGTTCTCATTGGGGAAGATTCCCAAGGCTTCTGTCTTTGTGAGTATTGGAGAGTTTGAGATGAGAGGTTGAGTGCGATTGTATGAGAAGAGAACATCAAATAACTTGTATTGAAAAGAGAGGATCATAGTGTATTATCTGGACCAATTAGCTCGGATGAGAATTTTTTATACCTCTTGCACTATACTCTTTTTTATGCTCGTAATAAAAATTTTTCATGTTTTCTATCTCATGCTTTATAGTTTAATTTTATTTTCATATATTTTGTGATGTAAGACATGATTTTCTCGTTATTTTATACTATGGATTTTGTTCCCTTGACATCTTATTTATGCATGAATTTCTTATATTGATGTGTTAAAATTCTGATTGTAGTTAATTTCTAATCGGATATGATAGATGTTAAAATTCTTTGTGATCTGGGACTTCTAACCGTTGCCTAGAAGAATAACCAGATTAACATACAGTAGCTAGATGGACTAGACATACTGTCATTAGAAAATTACAATCTAGATAGGAGACTAAAGGATTCTTCGGAAACACTAACGGTTAAGTCTAATATGATTTCCAATTCTTTTTATTATTTAAATATGAGCTAAGAAGGACATGTCTTTGGTTGTCAACAATGACGTAGGTTCATAAGAAGAACATCGAGAAACCACATGACCAATGAGTATGAACCTCTCATACCTAAAAAAAATTCACAAAATCCTAATTTCTTCACGCATCAAACTGGACTTTCAAACTATGTTTAACGGCTTAGTAAACTAAAACTTCATCTGTTATAAATATTCTTACAATTTCTTTGTGAGATCGATACACAAACTTTAAAATTCGTATATTAATTGGTATGTATACTTGTGTGATTAATTGGTTTGATTTGCAGTAATTTCGACCATCAGTCATCGCTACTCCTTTTTCGATCATTATCAGTGACTGTCTATCTATTTGTTTTACATTTATTTTATTTGTCTTCAAATTAAATAAAAATAAATTATTATTATTATTATTATTATTATTATTATTATTATTATTATTATTATATATAACATTCTTTTTGCACTATATTCAATTTTTAAGCAATGAATTGACCTCTTATGCACCCATCGAAAGAAAAATTTTTAGAAGAGATATTATTGCAAACTAAATTATTAAAGGGGTATTTATTGTATAATAATTTAAAAAAGGAGGTAGTCAAGCTAGAGTTGGACGACTCCACATATAAAAGTCACCCAAATATTGGATGAGTTGGCAGGGGGGAGTGGAGGTCAATTTTTTTTTATTTGTAATTTTTTTATTTAATTAATTTGATAAGATGCCTTTAAATTTATAGTTATTTTTAATTTATCTAATTAAATAATTTGATTTTAAAAAATAAAAATAATGTTAAATAATTTTTAAAAGTATTTATCAAAATTTTGATAGAGTAAAAATTAAAATTACTTCTATAATTATGAATTTAAAATTTAATTTTAAAAAAATATCTTTTTTCTTAAATTATTGAAGTGATTTAAACGTTAGCATTAAGACAATCCTTTTTATTTTTTATTATAAGTATAAGAAATAATTTAAATGAAAAAAAAATAATTCAATAAATATTTTTTTAATTTGGGTAAAATTTTGTAACCATGTATAGCCCCTTTTAGAAAATTTAAATTGCACAAACTTTAACTAATATTTTTTAAAAAAAAATTCAATGATATCATTTTTTTTTAAATTAGAGTAATAAAAAAATTTATCTATATTATTTTGAAGTTTTCTTTTTCTTTTTCTAGTTGATACAAAAGAAATATTAATATTAAAAAATATATTTGTGGATAAAAGAATGATAGTGATATAAAATTTAATTAATAATATATTTTATTAGTTAAAATATATTTATATTTTAATTAATAATTTTTAATGTAGAGAGAGATAAAAATTTTGGTGACCATAAGAAAACTCAATAATGACATTAAAATTAAAACTCAGAAATTCTTTATTACATAGTAGTGATATAAGAAAAAATTAAGCATCTATTGATGTTGTCTATGTAGAGATGAAATGACATGTGGTCTATGAGTGTATCGATCTGGCCCGTTTCTTGAGTGATCATAGATTTAGGCCTTTATAACATAACTTCTTATTGGTGTTGTGGCTATGCCTCCACTATCTTACTTCTTTCGGATCTTCTAGTAATGCATTTGTGATCTAACTTTTCTTTTGCAAAATAAAAGTAGAATAAAATTAAAAATATCAATATCTTATATTTTATAGATTTTGTGGGTAGAGAGAACTATTGTGTTATGCTTGATAATAATAACTAAATTGTCTCTCAAAATAATCCATTTTTTCTTCCATTGTTTCACCAATACATGTTACACTTGGCTGCCCCATTGTCTTTTTTTTTTGGTGTGTGTATAAAACTCTATGATTTCATTTTTTTGGACAATTTTGGCTATAAGTTATAATTAGGGATTGTATGAAAACATCCTTAATACATCTGTACATAATTTTAAACTTTATAATACTCAGAAATAAAAAAAAGTATGATTTACTCCTCTTACTCTATGCAACAAAAACGCATGGACCTGACACATGATAAATTATAGGACAATTACAATCATGTTTACAATATACACTTTTATCAAAATCAACTCAAATATTTTGAACGAGCTATATACTAGTTTGTTTAGCCAGTTGGCATGCTTCACTTTCATATCTCTAAAATAAAATTTTTGTATTAGCAACAAATTTAGATTCCATGGCTACTAATAATTATTTCATATCTCATATTCATTTTTAAAAAATAATAATAATGTTATAATAGATAACACATATTAGTGTTTGTATATGCAATGCACATGCTTGTCTAAGAACACCATTAGATGATTCATATTCAATAGTAGTTATTATTCTGTCACAAAAACTATTGTCATAATATAAACTCCATTTTGTGACATCTCATTTAACTAGCCATTAATACACTTCATTTCTTATATTAAAAAGATCATACATTTGCATATTAAAAGCATCTAGGTCATTTGCATTTCCAGCAGAATATGTTCTCCTAGAAAGTATTGCTATATCTCTTAATCCCATTTTACATACAACTTTCTTCAAATACTCTCTTAAATGACATAATTTATTATGATATGTAGTATAAGAAAATATCTTTTTGCAACCACTAACCAAATAGAATGCTTATCTAATATTATACAAACATGTTGTCGACATCTAACAATTTTATTATACTCATATAGATTATATAAAACCCACATACGTGAATCATTTGATTTAAACTCAATAATACCAAATACAAGTGGGACTAGACCATTATCGACATCGATACCAAGTTATCATCAGCAGTTAAGAGTGTTCTTCTATACTTTTCTAATAAAAATATACCACCAAGGCTTAACAACGAGCGAGAGTGAGACCAGCCTGAAGATGATGGTCACAAAATTCAAAATGAACTTTAAAAATTACATTATTGTGTAAAATCAATACTTTAAATAGTAGATGACATTACAATTTTTTATAGTTTTTATTAAATGATACAAACTTTTATTATGTATTATTTTTAATTAATTCTGATTATTATATTAATGACCATTGGATTCCTTTCCAAGATAATTATTATACTGATTCATGACTTTAATCATTAGTGGGTGATGTGCAATACCATGACAAACGATATGTTGGTGGGGCCCTATGTATCATGTGATGGGTGAAACTCAAATTTAATTATAGTTATTATCATATAATATTATGTTACATATAATTTGTTGTGTTGTGTCTTTAATTAATTACGATTTGTTATATTAATAATCATTGGATTCCTATCCATGATAATTATTAGGTTGACCCACTAGTTCATCCATCAACGATAAAATCATGACAAGCGGTACGTTGGTGGGGCCCCATGTAAATTCAAATTTAATTATCACTATTAGCAGATAATGTCATGTTATATCTAAATTATTATGTGTTATCTTTAATTAACTATGATTCATCCTATTAATGAATATTGGATTCCTCTTCGGGGCAATTATTAAACCAATTCACAATTTTAGCCATTAGTGAGTGATGTGATAGCATTATGATAACTGATATGTTGGTGGGCCCCATGTCTGTTCTCAAATTTAATTATGATTACTAAAAGACACTCTGTAAGGTTATATCTATTTTACTATGCATTATTTTAATTAATTATGATTTACCATATTAATGATCATTAATTCCTCTCCAAGATAAACATCAGGCTAGTCCACCACTATAACAATTATTCTATCTATAAATAGCTCTTAAGACAATACATCCCTCCTCAGTTCTAGATTTCTTTTCTTCATTCCATTCCATAATGTTAGGAGAAGGGAGTCATGGTAGGAGGCGACAATCACAACTACAAGATATTACCAATGAAGAAAGCATACAAATTCCTCCACTAGAAGTACATAACCTAAGCATTTCTCATTTATGTGGTGCACATAAAGCTGAACATCTAGATGTATTTTTATTTTTTAATTTACTTTTGTCATAGTAAATATTTTTTATTTATGAAGTTTATTTCTTAAATTGAGAACAATATTGATGGATACTAGCCACATTCTAGTGGTGAGACAATGATTAATTGAGTTTCCATGATTTATCGAGACACTTCAAATTATAGTCGTTGTAAATCTTTAACACCTAAGACTTATTCGGATGGATCATAACTTGTTATTTGCCTTAGTGGAGTGATGATCTTCAAATACAAATACAGTTCACCTGCCAGCAGGGCAAACAACAATAACATTATAGGATGTATGTACTATTTTAGGAGTACAATTAGATGGCTATGCTTCAGTTGGTTATAATTTTGTTGGATATGGTTTAAGATGGCTAACATGGTCTTGGATCACAATCATTTTCTGCAATTCTATGTCATGACCCACTAATCCTAATATCATCTTTAAATTTACCACGGAACAAGCATGTGCCCATACTTGTGTTGCACTATGTTTATTGTACAAAATATTTTATTGGGATTCATATATGAATCTCGTAAAATTAGATTTACATGAATGCATTCGTGCACATGTTCTTTTTATGATTGTATATTTTTTTAATGTCATATACATCTCATTCTGAAATTCATGTACAATATCTACCATTATTAAATAAATCTAGAAATATTTTCTATGTACTCATTAGGTGTCACAATTCTATCACATCTATATAGAGAGTTAAAAGAGGCTACAAAACCTACTAGAGTTATTATATCATTTCTAAAAATTTCTTCCCTAACAGAATTATGTCGAAGCACACCACAATGCCAAATGCAGTTCGAATGATACTTTTTTACTATGATTTTTTTTTTTTTCAAGAACGATGCACATTCGACGATCTAGTGACATACCCTTCAAAAAATTATTACATCAGAATTCTTAACGTAATTTCCGTTATGAGTCCAATAATGAGACGTCACATCTTATCAAATTTGGACATCAAATTTAAAAGAAAAAATATTACCTCAGGAGTACTGATGCATCAGTACTCCAATGAGGGGTGCCACGTAGGTACCACGGTGGGACCATTGCCTACGTGGCACCCCCTCATTGGAGTACTGATGCATCAATACTCCTGAGGTAATATTTTTTCAATTTAAAAGCCTCTATTTTATCCTAGAAATAAGAATCTAACCTTCCCACTTTATTCCCCCCAGCTTTCCCATTTCCTCTTCCTTCCTCTCGCTCCAAAGAACCCTATTCCCCATTCCCAACCTCCTTCCCCAATGGGCCTAAGCAACAACCTAATCGCAATCCTCAACTTCATCGCCCTCCTTTCTTCCATCCCCATCATCGCCTCGGGCATCTGGCTCGCCTCCAAGCCCGACAGTGAGTGCATCCGTCTAGTCCGATGGCCTGTCATCATCCTCGGCGTTCTCATCCTCCTCGTCTCTCTAGCCGGCTTCGTCGGCGCTTACTGGAACCACCAGTGCCTTCTCGCGGCCTACCTATTCGTCATGGCAACCCTAATCGTTCTCCTCCTCGCTCTTCTCGTCTTCTCCTTCGTCGTCACCCACAACGATGGCGCGTATGATGTTCCAGATCGGGGGTACAAGGAGTATCGCCTCGCTGGATTCTCCGATTGGCTTCGGCATTACGTGGGTGATGATGGGCATTGGGTTCGGATCCGGGCTTGTCTCGCTCAATCGGATGTGTGCGGGAAGCTTGCACGGGATGATGCGTATTTCACCGCCGATCAGTTTTTTAGGGCCGATCTCTCCCCGATTCAGGTAAGGATCTCGCTACTGTTCTGTACATTGCCGGCTATCAGTACTCGTGTGTGCTCTTGTGTGTTTATGTTTTGGGTATCGGTTTTGGAGTAATTTACGGATAAGACCACTGGTTGGTGCGCCGCGTGGCTGGCGTTTGGAACCGAGGGCAATCTTTTCCATTTATCTTTTGCTGATTGACCTAAAAGGGATCATTTACATGCATACCACCTAAAATCTATATATTTCTATATCGAACACAAAATTTAATTTTTTACATTTATAATACCCAATTATTTCATATCACGTAAAAAAATAGGATTTTTTTTTTTATTTTTTAAAAAATAAAATGCATATTTTCAACATAGATACGGTGTCATATGTAAATATTGAAGTTTAGATATTAATATGTAAAATGTCCCTTTAAAATATTCAATTTTTTTTAAAATAAATGTAATATAAAAATCAATTGATTATTTTTTTTGTATATTATCTCAAAATAAAGTCAGAATTTTTTAAAACTGGTTCTAATCAAATTTTATAGCAAATCTTGATCAGTGTGGCTACAGTACACTAGGTGAAATATATAAGATAAATATTAAATAAATAGAAGCACCGAATAGGAAATACAATTCAATTACTTTATAATATTATAAAATACTTTATATTTTGTTATTAATTGTTTATTATTATTTTTCGCATTTGATGTAAATGTACATTCTCTCTCTCCATTGAAAGAGCATGGACGGATCATGTAAGGTTCAATAGTTCAATTTATCGAGATTAAATTAAAGGTTTAATTAAATGACATAATAAATATTAAAATTCTTTATATATTACTTAAATGACCAAATTTGCTTTAAATATGAGAGCTAATGTCTTAGATTAATTTCAATATTGAGAGTTTTTATTGTATCTTTACTCTTCAACATTGTGTGAGGTCACTAAAATTTTTTTTGGTCTTCGGAGATTAAAGTTATTAATTATGATTATTTGTGGAGTAATTCAATCATTACACATAAAAGTTGAGAGCTTGATGTACTTATAAATATGAGGAGTTAGGTGTCGTGATTTACAAAAATTTATAGTTTTTTTTTATTATATACTATTTATATCTTGCTGTCTTATTAAAAAAAAGACAATGATAAATTGATCATATTATGAATGTTATCAATATGAGTTTGGTAGTGTTGTTGAGATGGATGTTTGTCTCATTTTGCTAGGTTGTCCATGGGAGTTTGATGTGGATGCACATGACAAAGACAGAGGAGTTATTTCTTTTTGGTAGTGAGAATAATAACGTTGCTACCTTTTAGGGACCCCTAGCTTCAATGTTAATTGCACTTCCATCCACTAGGTTCTGTGTCTAGATGAAATAGAGCATTCATGTTCTGCTTCATGTGGTTATTGTATTCGGCTTTGATTGAGTGGGATGCCCTAAGAAATTCTCATATTAATGAAAGAGTAACCTAGTCTTCAAGTGTATTATAGTCTGAATGATACCAGAGTTGACCAAACAATAATAGGAAAACCAAATTTTATTACAGAATTCAAGTAGGAAATTACAGCCAACTTACAGGAATTTGAATTGCAACAACTGAAAACAAGAACTCAAGCTAGGGGGTAGATCCAAGGGTGGTCATGGTGGTTGGCGAGGGTTTGGAAGATGGTGTGTGGCTGGAAAAGGTGGTTGGTAAACAGAAAATAGCAAGACAGTTGTGTTCCCGGTGCTGGACAGCAAGCAAACAGAAGGGAGCAATTAGGGAGTGCTGTCCGGGGTGATGGCTGTAAGGATGGAGGGCTGAAATAGTGGTGCCAGCAAAGAGAAAGGGCAAGACAGTAGCAGCGACAATGGTGGAGGGTTGGAACATTAATTGGGGCGAAGAGGAAAGGCTGGATAAAGGAAATTTGCTGGAAAATAGCGAAAGGGCTGCTGTTGGGGCAGACCTGTAGCGAGGAGGGAGACGTTACAGTGAAGCGGGAGGGAAGTGAAAGGTAAAGTGAAGATACACACCACCTGGAGACCAAGATACAACCGAAGCACCATCTGGAACCTCAAGATTCTACCCTCAAAGGGAAGAGGAAATGTCGGCAGTTGTCCCTATACCAAACACCAAAAACTAAACCTAAAATATTTGAAAAACAAATGAATAATAATAGGATAACTAGGATAGAGGACCGACCGACTTCAGAACATTGAAAAAACCTAAACTGGTGTGGTGCAGGAATGAAAAACGGGTGCAGCTGATGTTCGTTGGAAAAAATCATGTGTGGAATGCGATCCTGTCTTTGCTTTGGATGCCCCGTGTAAGTGCGGGAAGGACGCTCGTGTCACTGAAGGAATTATCAGTCCTTCAAACTATTCAACATCAAATTATTCTGGTATTGGTTGCAAGTTTATTAAACCTTTCATACTATCATATGAGTACTAAGGAGCATGAGACCCTACAAAATATTGTCCATCATTTGCTAGCCAAGCAATTCAGTTGGGTTACTTTTAATCCTTGTGTTGTATTGGCATTGTAAGACTTAAAAAATGGAGGTTGGAAGATATTTGTGGTTGGTCGAGCAATGAATAATCTTAAATGCAAGTAACAGTTTGCTATCCCATGTTTAAAGGATTTCTAAGACAATTTGAAGGCCTGAGCATTTGCTTTCCAAATCTCATTTGAAAGGTAGTTACCATCAAGTAAATGTTACTAGGCAAAGAATGGAACGCCATATTCTTGAAGAGGGACATTTTTATGAATGTAAAGTAATATCATTTGGAAAATACAATGCCTCATGTAATTTCATGCGCCTCTTGCTTGAACTTTTATAATCTTTCATTTGTCAATTTCTTATGGTTTACTTCAATGATATCTTAGCCCATAATATGACACAAGAGGAGAATCTTGCTCAATTTTGTGCTCACTTTTAAGAAATGTTCTTTCCTCAACAGTCGGGTCTTATTTCTTAGATGTGTTATCAATGATTAAGGCTTCGAAGTGGATCATGCCACAAAACGCATTTACTCGGTGGACTACTCTTCTAGTGCCCAAACTGTTTATCAAACTTATGGGTTTTGATATCTAGAAGGATTTGTACAATATAATGAGGTCTTCAACAACATTTGTATACAAAGTCAACAACATGGCAATACAGGAGAGTTCCATACATAGTAGGGCTTATGTTTAAAGGTAATTAGCTTCATCTCCTGAAAACGTCTATGCATGAATTTAGTATCCAAGACTTGAATGTAGGAGAAATGGCCGCCCGAGACAACACTATAGCTGTTCTTGATGATTATTTCTTCTCTATAAATGTTTCGAGACTGTGGACATCACAAAATTGTGCGGCGATGCGGGGTTTGTCATATAACTAAGGGGCATGCCTAATACACTAGACTCTACACACCATTGCCTGTGCTAGACAACATATGGGAGAACATTTGTTTATAGTTCATGTTGGGTTTGCCAAAGACTCAAACGAAAGCACTCATTCTTGTCCTGGTAGATCAAGTTTAAGAGATGGCTCCTTTTATCCCTTGTTGAAAGACTATGGACATGTTTGACATTGCTAATTTAACTTTTTAAGAAATGATTCCACTATATGGAATATCGAAAACAAACAGTGCCGATCATAAAATTAAATTTTTAAGCCACTTCAGTTGCATATTATTGTGAAAATTTGAATCAACATTCACATTTAGAAATATGTATCAGTGTAAATAAGTTTAGGTATTTTGATATGTAAATGCATAAGAATTGTGTGGGTATGTATGTAAATTTCTCTATTAAAAATATGATATTTTAAAAATCAAAACTTTTCAACTTATTATATAATCATGTTAATATGTTGGTGCAGTCTGGATGTTGTAAGCCACCAACTGTGTGTGGGTATGCCTATGTGAATCCTACAGTTTGGGTTTCCCCTGCGAATGTTGGTGCAGACCCAGACTGCTATGCCTGGAGCAATGACCAGGCTCAGCTCTGTTATGGATGCAACTCGTGCAAAGCCGGGACGATCGGAAACCTGCGCGGTGAGTGGAGAAAGGCCAACATTGTTCTCATCGTTGCTGCAGTCGCCCTCATCTGGGTGTACATCATTGGCTGCAGTGCCTTGAAGAACGCACAGACGGAGGAACTTTTTCAACGATACAAGCAGGGATTTGCGTAAATTTAAATTGTGAATTGTTAGATAGATGAACCGGTTTACTCTTCTTTGTAAACTATAGCACTTGCAAATTGCTATATTTGATCAGGGTCTGGCCTTGTTATATATGCAGGTTGTGGCCAGTTTTCGTTCTCTTAGTTGCTGCTGGGCAGCTTTAGTTGACAATTATGTACTGTGGCTATTGGTAGTGATATTGTTCATCTTTTCTTGTTGTTTTATTTATTTATTTTAATAAGAGTGCTATTCTCTTTTTAAGATTTTTATTTTTTCATTGGAAGATTTACTTAATGCCACTCCATTTCCATGTGTTTGCATATCTAACTCCTAAACTTCAATTGTTACTAGCATACCTCCTTTGAAAAGGTGTATTTAGGAAGAAAATAAATTGGGTAAATATTTGAATACAAAATAATTTAATGTAAGAATTTAGAATTTATCTGACCATTTCTCTAACAATCCAATTTATTGAGATGAATTTTTATATTATCTATTTGTCCATGTCTCCTCTTATACTTGGTCCATCTACATGTACTTTAAATTTTTTAAAACATAAATAATTGTAAAATAAAGCTTACATTTCATGAAATAATTCTACATGGTCCAAGTAGCTTCTTTGATATATCATTTGGGTGTGGTGTATGCAAGGTTAGTAGACTAACATATGGTCTCTCTATGATGCGAACAATCAGTTATAATAGCTCTAGTAGGCTTTGTTGCCTCTTTTAACTCTCGATATGGATGTGGCTGTACTTCGACACTTAATGTGTACATAGAAAATATTTCTAGATCCTCTAATAATGGTAGATATTGTATATGCATTTTAGAGTCGGATGTATTAGACATTAAAAAATATCCAATCATAAAAAAGAACATATGCACGAACACATTGATGCAACTCTAATTTTATGAGATGAATCCCAATAAAACATTTAGTACAAACAACGTAGTGCAACATAAGTTTGGGCACATGCTTGTGCCATGGTAAATTTAGAGGTGATATTAGGATTAGTAAGGTTATGATATAGAATTAGTTCAAGACCATGCTAGCCATCTTAAGTCATATCCAACAACTAAAGCATAAACATCTAATTGTACTCCTAAAATAATACATACATCCTACAACGTTATTGTCATTCCTCTGCTAGTGGGTGAATTGTATTTGTATTTGGTGATCATCACTCCACTAAGGGAATTAACAGGTTATGGTCCAACCGAATAATTCTTAGGTGTTAAAGATTTACGACGACTATAATTTGTATTGTCTCGATAAATCATGAGCACTCAATTGACCATTGTCTTACCATTAGAAGGTGGCTAGTAGCTGTCAATATTGTTCTCTATTTAAGAAATAAACTTCATAAATAAAAAATATTTAATATTATAAAAGTAATTAAAAAAATAAAAATACATCAAGATGTTCAGCTTTATGTGCACCACGTAATTGAGAAATGCTTAGGTTAAGTACTTCTAGTGGAGGATTTTGTGTACTTTCTTCATTGGTAATATCTTTTAGTTGTGATTATCGATGTATTGTCTTAAAACGTATTTATAGATAAACTAATGGTAAAGTGGTGGACCAACTTAATGATTATCTTGGATAAGAATCCAATAATCACTAATATGATAAATCATAATTAATTAAAGATAAAACATAATAAATTAGACATAACCTTATAGTGTCTGTTAATAATTATAATTATATTTAAATTTCACTCATCACATGCAACAGACATGGAGACATGGAGCTCCATCAATATATCACTTATCTGATGTTGTCACATAACCCACTAATGACTAAAATTGTGGACCGGTTTAATAGTTGTCCCGAAGAGGAATCCAATGGTCATTAATACGATGAATCATAATTAATTAAAGATAATGCATAATAATTTAGATATAACTTGACATTATCTGCTAATAATGATAATTAAATTTGAATTTACATGGGGCCCCACCAACGTACCACTTGTTATGGTGTTATCACATCACTTGCTGAGCGCTGAAGTGGTTGGTCAACCTAATAATTATCATGGAGAGGAATCCAATGATCATTGATATAACAACTCATAATTAATTAAAGACAACACACTACAAATTATATGTAACATAATAATATATGATAATAATTATAATTAAATTTGAACTTTACCCATCACATGCAATAGACATAGGACCCCACCAACATATCGTTTGTCATGGTATTGTCACATGACCCACTAATGACTGAAGTCATAAGTCAGTCTAATAATTATCTTGGAAAGTAATCCAATGGTCATTAATATGATAATTAAAATTAATTGAAAAATAATAAACTATAGAATAATGTAACGTCGTGTACTATTTAAAGTACTGATTTTACACAATAATGTCATTTTAAAATTTATTTTGAATTTTTGGACCATCACTTTAAAATTTTTGTTTTAGAGATATGAAAGTGAAGCACACAAATTGGCTAAACCAACTAGTATAAATCCTTACAAGTATGAAGTCTATGATAGCTTGTGCATAATATTTGAGTTGATTTTGATGAAAGTGGATATTGTAAATATGATTGATATTGTCCTATAATTTATCATGTGTTGGTCCACATGTTTTTGCTTCACCTAGAGTATGATGAGTAAATAATATTTTTTTTATCTCTAAGTATTATAAAACTCAAAATTATGTACAAACATATTAAGAAGTTTTTCATACAATCTCTAATTGTCATTTATAACCAAAATTGTCCAAAAATAAAATTATAGAGCTGTTACACCTCCAATTAAAAGACAACCAAACAACCAAGGGTAATATGTATTTGTGATATAATTGTGAAAATATGGATTATTTTGAAAGACTCTATAGTTATTATTATCAAGCATAACATAACATATCTATGTACCCAAAATATCTAGAAAAGATAAGATATAAATTATTTTTTTTTGTTTTTTAAACTTTATTCTACTTTTTATTTTGTAGAAGAAAAGTCAGATCACAAATGCATAATTAGAAGACCTAAAAGAAGTAAGATAGTTGAGGTATAACTACAATACCAGTAAGGGGTTATGTTATAAAGGCGTAAATCTATGATCAACCAAGAAATGAAACCCATAAATCTCATGTCATTTCACCTTTACATAGACAACATCAATAGATGCTTAATTTTTTTTTATACACTACTAATTTCTTTTATCTATCTATATCTACATTAAAAATTATTAATTAAAATATAAATATATTTTAACTAATAAAAGAAAATATTAATTAAATTTTGTATCATTATCATTCTTTTTTTTATCCACAAAATTTTACCCAAATAAAAATAAATATTTACTAAATTATTTTTTCCATTTAATATATTTCTTATACTTATAATAAAATAATAATAAAGTATTTTTTCTATGTTACCCTTTAAATCATTTCAATAAAATATTAAATATCAAATTTATATTTACAGGAGAAATTTTAATTTGTATTCTATCAAAATTTTGATAAACTCTTCTTAAAAAATATTTAACAATATTTTATTTTTTTCTTAAATCAAACTATTTAATTAGTTAAATTAAAAAGAACTATAAAACTAAAGGCTCCTTATCAAATTGATTAAAAAAAAAAATTACAAATTAAAAAAATTTGACCTCCACTCACCCCCCTAACTCATCTAATATTTGCATGACTTTCAAATGGGGAGTCACACAACCTTGCATGACTGGCTCCTTTTTAAATTATGTTATAATAAATAACCCTTTATTAATTTTATTTGCAAGAATACCTCTTCAAATTTTTTTTCTTTCGATAGGTGCTTAAGATTTCATTTCATTTGCTTAAAAAATAAATATAGTGCAAAAAATGTTAAATTGTAGTTTCTCGATGTTCTTCTTATGAACTCATGTTATTGTTGACAACCTGAGACATGTCCTTAGCTCATGTTTAGGTCATAAGAAGAATTGAAAATCATATTAGACTTAATCGTCAGTGTTTCCCAAGAATCTATTGGGCTATTGTGTGTTAACTTACTTGTTCTTTTAGGCAACAATTAGAAGTCCTAGATCACAAAGAATTTTAACATGTTAGCATGTCCGATTAGATTAAACTACAACTCGAATGTTAACACATTAACATAAGAAATTTATGCACAAATAAGGTGTCGAGGGAAAAAAATCCGTAGTATAAAATAATTAGAAAATCGTACTTTACATCACAAGGGTATGAAAAAAAAATTAACTATAAAGCATAAGATAGAAAACTTGAAAAATTTTTATCACGTGCACAAAAAAGAGTATAATGCAAGAGGTATAGAAAATTCACACTAGATCTAATTGGTCCATACAATGCACATTGATCCTCTCTGTTCAATACAAGTTATTCGATGATCTCTTCTCATACAATTGCACTCAACCATTCATCTCAAACTCTCCAAACCTCACAAAGACACAAACCTTAGGAATCTTCCCCAAGAAGAACCATGGGAGAGATCGCTAGGTTTGAGAAGATTCTCATTAGTCTTCTACAAAAGCAATCTCTAGCAGCCCAAAATCCCATAGGTCGCGCCTTAGCTTCCCTTTTCATAGCTCCATACAAAACATACATGAAATTCTTGCCAAACTAGAAACAGGCCGCACGGTGGCTTGACCATGCTCATGTTTAGCATAACCGTGTCATGGACGACAAAGTCATGCCAAATTCAAGCGTAACTATGTCAGATAACCTGTAAGGTTGGCATAATTATGCCAGTTTTAGGCATGATTATGCCTGTTTAGCTCCACCGAACACACTATTTTATTGCTCCGTGAATCTCATTCGACCATTGTAACCTGTAAAACACCACAGAGAACTTTTTATAAGCATAAAATCATAATAAATAAAGAAGAAAACATAGAATTTAGTGTAAAAATATCTAAATTTAGCTTGCTTCAATTATCCCAAACTTATCTATTAATTATCTTCAAGTAATCTCAAAGCATTGCTACAACTAAAGTGATGTTATTAGTTCTCATGTGGACTTCTTGATTCTTTAAGCAGAATATATATGTAATAATGAATATGCAAATCTCATTTTAGGGTCTGATCTTCATTAAATTCTAATAACTTAACCCTATTTCTTTTAATTCTCTTCTTTCCAAACCTATGCAAATCTCAAAACTCTTAAGCTTGTTTGATTGAAATATTTTTCATTTACCACATATATTTTTAAATCAATTAAGAGTCAACCACCTAACTTAACTTCATTTAATATTTTTTCTGAATACAATATTGTAAGAATTTCATTAAGAGTTTTTAATATCATGTATACCACCAAATGATAAAGTAATTTAAAACATCGAATAAGTGTTATGTTTGCTCTTCACCACAAATGGCTTTCCGAACAGCTTAAAATCACAGTGGAGTACGGACGTGCGGACAACGGACGCAATGCAGCGATACAACGGAGGTTCGATCCTCCGTTACATCGCTTCCAATTTTTTTTTTTTAAATTTGGGTTGTTGCTAGCATTTTCTTAATGTGGCCTACTGCTCACAACATATTTGCATAAACATAATTTTTTTCATACAAATTATGTCATCATATAAAATTTGTAAGAGATTTAGGTTTAAGAATGAATCTCACATATTAAGAAAAAAAAAGGGTCTTGTTACATATATTACACTCAAAACTGATCAAATAACGATTTTCACCCCCAAATCTATTTTGCCTTTTTCACACCTTAAATTGTTAATACTCATGAAAAATAGAAGTACGTCCACTACAAAAAGATGTTGTAAGCAGTGTCTGATATTTGTGTCGGATTTTTCTGATGTAAATATAAACGTCGGATTTACATATGAAATGCGGCGAAAACTAGATTCTGGATTCTGATGTTTGCTTCGGATTTTGTATTTACTTTGCCTCCATTAATTCAAAATAAAAAAAACTATACTAAAATGTCAAAACTTGAATTGTGAAGAGTTGGGGTGGAATTTGTGTTTAATAACTTGACACAAATAATTTACTTGAAAGCCTCAAGCTACCCAAAAAATATTACATCAGGACTCTACATACAGAGCTACTTGAGGAGTCCAATCTAGAGCTGACACGTAGAAAATTGTGGCCCACCTTCATAAAAAATAAAAAAAAAAGAATGAAAACGCACGACCCGGCCCGCCGTGTTATAAGAATATTCCCTTCGTGTTATTCTGAATATTTTTCGCGTTATTCATGTGTTATTAATGTGTTATTGAGTTGACTTTGATATATTATTGTCCCTTAAACAATAATACCAATAACACAGGAATAACACGAAAAATATTATTTCAATAACACAACAATAACACATGAATAACACACCAATGATACATTAAAAATGCGCGACCCGACTCGAACGTGTCATAGAAATATTCTCTTCGCGTTATTCATGTGTTATTGATGTGTTATTCATGAATAACACGCCAATAACACATTAAAAATGCGAAAAATATTCCCTGACATGAATAACAATTCAATAATACACCAATAACATATGAATAATGCGAAAATATTCAGAATAATGTAAGGGAATATTCGATAGGGCGGGCTCCAACTTTCCACGTGTCAGCTCGAGATTGGACTCCACAAGCAGCTCTATATTTTCCAAACTACCTCCAATGTAAATACAACGAAAATGCGATAACAAATAAAAAGTTCTCTGCAGTTACTTGATTGGGTCAAATGTGTCCGACACAATGCCGACACAAAAATCCTAAAATTTGAATCCCACACTTTCTACTCAAAATCCTCGCGAAACACAGTTTGATAAAAGAACGGGTTTTAATGTAAAAAATATCAAATAAATAAACTTTTCCTTACAGATATTTAATTATATACCTGTTATTAATATAATAGTTCTTATATTACGCCCAATATAACATATATATATATATATATATATATATCCTATAAAATAATAATAAAAAAAACCGGCTCATCTTTTCGCGCGCCCGCGAAATTGAAAGGCAGCGAAACAATCCAGGAGTCCACGAGGGAAACAATACTTTCAATTTTCCAAAAACCAAAATCTAATCCGAAAATTCAAATAAATCTCCTCAGGTTCCCGCGGCCCTGTTTCTCCTCCTCCAAATCCTTCTCTTCCCGCGTTTTGATTCATACTTTGCCTTCCCAAAGCCGTCTTCCTCACCGATCTCAAACTGTAACCTTTCCCTTCAACTCGCAGCAGCAAGCCTCATCCGCCCGATTAGATGAAGGGCAACCTCCATGACTTACCTCCCTCTAAAAGATTCAAGCTTTTTCATCAAAATCAGCACCAAGATGCGTTTTTGATTGAATCCCCCATCTCTCCCAAATTCCTCCCAGCCAAAAAACGATTAGATTCTCACCATCCCCTCACCTCAATCTGCCTCCCCGCAAAGAAAAGGATCTGGGGTCCCAACCCCTTGTTTCCTCTCCACGAACATGACAAATCCTGCAATCTTCAACCATACACAGAAATTGAAGAAGAGGAAGACGATGGTGTCGTCTGCTCTGTATGCCAAGGCACCGACGGCGAGCCAGCAGATCCCATCGTCTTCTGCGATGGCTGTGAGTTAATGGTCCATGCTTCTTGCTATGGAAGCCCTCTGATCCACTCAATACCTGAAGGAGATTGGTTCTGTTTGAGGTGCCAGAGGAAGGGGGAGGAAGAAAAATGGGATTTTGATTGCCTTCTCTGTCCGAAGAAGGGGGGAGCAGTGAAACCAATGGAAGATAAAAGACAATGGGCTCATATTCTGTGCGGGCTTCTTGTTCCTGAGGTATTCTTTCGAGATCCAGTGGGGAGAGAGGGGATTGATTGTTCGGGAGTGCCGGAGAAGAGGTGGGGTATTGATTGTTACATCTGCGGGGTGAATCGTGGGTGTGGAATTGAGTGCTCGGAGTCGAAGTGTGGATTAGGGTTCCATGTTTCTTGTGGATTGGAGAAGGGGCTTTCTATTGAGTATAAGGAGGGGAAGGGAGTTGGAATTGTTGCTGGGTTCTGCGAGGAGCATACGCAGCTGTGGAAGAAGGTGAGAACATTAGTCACTGATTTGGTTTTGTTTTTTTTGTTCCGTTCATTCGTTTATTTCTTTTATCTTCTGGAAAAATAAAAAATTATCGTTTGTGGATGAGATAGGTGCAGATAAATGTGAATTTAATGGTATTTTGATAGTATTATGATGGTATTTCACTAATCTTATCGAAATATCACCAATTCATATGTGTGGACTACACACTCAATAATCCCTATATCTTAAGAGGGTTAACATGGATCTCTCTGTGTGTGTGTGTGTGACAGTTAATCCGTCAGTAGTAAGTCCACTCTCACTCGGGTTCGATCCCTCAAATATTCGTTTGCGTTTGGTTTTTTAAAGATGCAAATTCAGATTTAATAAATTCGATTGTGCGGAGAATTTATTCTGCTGATTTAAATTTTCAATTGCTTTGGTTATTTTTTATTCAATATGGTTGGATATGTTATTGATTTCATGAAAATAAGAACTCTTGTTTTATAAATGCAGCAAGAATTAACTGGAAAATACAAGATTGTTCCTCGGGAGAAGCTTTGCTCTAAAGCAAAGATCAGTGGATAATTTTGGATGAGTTGCTTGTAAGTTTCAGGCTATTTTAGCTTTCAATTGGCTTAATAGTGGATATTTTTCTTAATTATATATTGCCAATTATTTATGTAGTTACTGTTGTTTTATGCAATCTCTTATGTATGTTTAAGACCATGGAATGATGATTTGTGAGTTACTTCAACTATCATATTGTTTGTCTTTTGTTAAATGTATATATTTGGTGACTAAACAAGCTTTGGTCGTCTAAAGTGTGCTTGATTTTGTTAGTCTATTTTCAGTTAATGGCATGATTTCTTGAAGATTAAACTCAGTGGGAGATGTTGTGAATGGTGGCGAGGAGAGACCTCTCAGGGTTAGCTTGAACATGGAAGACTCGGGCTAGATTGATGGTCCTTGAGATAGTGAGGGAGTCTAGTGAAATTTAGTATGGTTAGATTGGGTGAGATTTATGAAATAGTAGTGGGATGGAAGGGAGGGAGAGAGTGAATGAAGGCAGTCCAAAAATATTTGTGAGAAAATTAAAGAGGGATAAGAGTTGCTAGCATAGAGGTCAATGCAGCGAAGGAGTGTGTGCATCCGATGCAATTAGAGGACTTGTTAGGAGGAAGAAATGTTGGAGCCAAGATTCGTGGTTGACTAAATTTGGTTGGCGTAGTTGGACATGATTGGAGTTACAGTTGGCATGCAGGAGGGATGAGATTGTAATATGGACAGTTGCAGCCTGACAAAATTGTGGAAGATGCGGATGTTGAATGTTAAATTTGAATTTGAGTAGTGATGAGACAACAATAGGAAGATGGATTAGAAGAGTATTGTGATGAGAGCATCATTGATATGAACTCATTTATAAGATCATGATTAAGGGCAATTCAAGGATGTTCTCAAATTTTTTTGAAATGAACATGAACTTGGGAGAATTTTACCTCATTGTTTATTTGTTCCCTCAATTCTCTAAACGGGGTCAGTTTATGATTGTATAGGAATTATTAGTTCGTCATCACTAATTTTTAACTAATTAATTACTCTTATTATTAACTTATTACAATAACTAATTATCTTGTAATATCTTATCATAAACACAAGGCACTCAAATATCTTAAGAGATGAATAATTAGCTTCATTATATAAAAAGTTCATATAGAGTCTTATTTTGTAATAATAATGATAGTACTTGTTAGAACACATTTATTTAAGAATTTAGGATGGAATCTAGATGTTAACTATGAGGTTGTTGTTGTTTAGGAGTTTCTAGTTTGTTCAACAATGTTATTTTAATATGTTTTGACAATAAAATAGCATTGATATAAAATACTAAGTTTATCAAATGAGTATATAATTAATTCTTGGCATTGTAAATATAAAAAACTTTATCTAGAAATTGAATTGAGTAATGATTATATCAAAAAATTTTGGAATGCAACAGAGGCATCAAATTTATGCTTAAGCAAGATGATCCACATAACTATGTGTAGTTGTCAACTAATATTAAGAAATATTAATAGCTAGTGCATGTCGGAATGTTGTCGAATCTCTAGACATCAAGAAAATATTACGTGCGGAGTCCGGATGGTACTCTATGTTCAAACTCCAATCTAAAATTGGATTCTTGACATATTTTGTTCTGTACAATACAGTTGTATCAGAGATTTGTTTTCAATAAAACTGTGTTTTATGCCATGTTATATATCTTTACTTTCAAATCATTTATTTAAAATTTTTTTTTTATCTTTATAACGGATTTGGTGATTATTTATATGTTTTGTTCGGTATAATATGGTTGTATTTGAGATTTTTTTTCAGCACAATTGTGTTTTATGTCATGCTATTTACCCTTACACTCAAATCGTGCATTTTAGAATAATTTTTGTTCTCATTATAGCGGGTTTAGTGATTATTTACATATTTTCTTCATTATGACAGTTGTATCTGAAATTTTTCTTTAGCGCAATCTTGTTTTATGTCATGCAATGAATTCTTACTTTGAATTCATTTATCTTAGAATCATTTTTGTTCTCGTACTAACAAATTTATCGATTATTTACATATTTTGTTCACGACAACACGGATGTATGAGTTTTTTTTTTTTTTTCTTTTTCAGTATAACCTTGTTTTATGTCATATTATGAACCCTCGTGATCAAATCATGTATTTTAAACCTCTTATAATCGTATTGTACTGAAAAAAATTATGTAAATAATTCAATTTTAGGGTAGCTTGTGAACTACCCACGTAATAATTTAGCCCATGTAGTGTACATATTGATAGAAAAAAGAGAACTATTATTAGAAGAAATAAAGGGTAAGCAACATTGTTCAGCTAAAAAATAATATAATATCATACTTTTGTTTTGATGTTTAAGACTATTTGGTCGTTTATTGGATAAATGCCATAAATAATAAAAGTGTAGATGTGTTAGTAATTAACCCGACTGTAACTCGATATAAACTTCACTCAAAGAATTCATGTTTGGGAGGTTATGTTATGGTCTAAAATTTTAACCTATTTAATTTATTTTTAGATTGACTTTGTGTTTACTCATAAACTCGAGATTGACCCAATTTTTACTCACAAACTCGAGATTGATTCAAATTTGACCTAAAATGCATCTTTAAGTTTAACCATTTGTCTTTTTATATTTTCTTAAGATTATACATATTTATTTAAATTTATTTTTTTAAAAAAGGTAATATTATTTTACTAGGTATTTTTTATTTTTTAGAAAGATTAATTATATAAATTTAATAATAATAATAATAATAATAATAATAATAATAATAATAATAATAATAATAATAATAACATTGTTATTGTTATGCCATCAACAAATTTTAATGAATCCTAAGACATGACACTAATCTCAAAGCATTTTTTAGCTAGAAACATTTAAATTTAAATTAAAAATCATCCTGAATTTCAATTTCAATAAATTTACATGTAAGTTGATTGGCTCAACAAAACAGACCTAAAGACACTGAAGTTGGTTCAATTTGAGTTAGATTAAGTCTATTTCAAAATTTTAAATCACTTTTGAAAACATTTATTACATAATTGCAATGTCAAATAGATTCCAAATCTGCCAAGCTTATAATAAAATTGAATGTATTGAAGAGACGAATGCAACAAACCTAAAATCACTCAATTCTGGCACTGTTAAGGCATTTCAATATTTGCAAAATGTTGTCTGATCGAGAAAATCTCTTTGGGTCGACTGATGGATGGTCTTAATTCGTTCTTTATTTGTAGAGATACATTTTTTATAATTTATAAATAGTCTTACCCCTTTCATGAAGAGCCGACTCTGTGCTTAGATAATGAGAAAAACAAATTGAATTACAGTGCTCTGCATCAAAGGTTTAGTGAACGACACCCGCTCCTGTTACTGTCGAACATTATTGACCACCGGTCGCCCGACTCCATCGACCACAATCGCCTTTACTTTTTCCTAAATCACCAGGTATATCAAGGAATCTCAGTGTATGTTGTGGAGTAATGAAACATTCGATAGAGCATCGCATCATCCCGAACATTATATATGTCACGTCCCAATGACAATATAATGATGCACTTTGAAAATTATGTGACGACACACCTTAAAGATGGTGTAAGGACGCATCCCGAATACGATGTAATGACATACCCTGAATAAGGTGTAACAAAACATTTCAAAGATTGGATAATAATGAACCCTAAGCATGGTGTAACTCTTCATAATAATTGTTTACAACCGCCATACTCAAAATATAGTGATTTTCTCTAAACTCCTGAAGATCTCTCCTCACAGCTCCCTACCATGTCTTACAACTTACATGATCAATAACTCATGCAGCTCTCAATTCTTACCTCTGCAGCCTACGTGTGTTATAACAGTTCTCTGTTAGCGCCTATGTGACTAATGTAACCTATGTGGCTCACAACTCATGCAACTCCCAACTCCGGTCTCTGTGACTTACAAACGCCATCACAACTCTATTACAATCGTCGATGCTAATCGATGGCCCTGAAGCTACCACTTACGACCTATATGACCAAAAACTACCATGACTTTCAATTAAGGCCTCTACAACAAGCTGACACTAAAGTCACCATTTACAACATTTATGGTGGGTCGCTTCGCTACCTTCATAGCAATTAATTATGGCTTTCACGCCCGTTATGTCTATTTCTAAAATATCGTTGCACATTAACTTTACAATTTCCTCTTCTCTAATTTTAGAAAAGAATGAGTCTATGTAATTATAAATACATAGTTGAGTATGTTGATTGGGTCAGACAATGTATTTTCTTCTTTTTCGATGGGTTTTCACATAAAAATTGATGTGTCTCCTTTTGCTTCTCTTTTATTTGTGTGTGTGCTAAATTTTCATCCAATGTTAAGACTAGGGTTGTAAACGAGTAGAGCTTGAGAGAGCTCAAGCTTGGCTCGTGTTCGGCTCGTTCAAAATTGCTCGTGTTCGAAATCGGCTCGCGAACAATGTGTTTGTGTTCGACTCTTTTTAAATATTTGTGTTTGTGTTCAGCCGGTGTTTAGCTCGAAATTGGCTCGTTAAAATTACATTAGAGAAAATAGATGTAGAGTGTTAGATTCAAATATGGATCAAATGTATGCAAAAGAAGCACATAATAAAATTATCACACGAGTTGTTACAATTTAAACTTAGATATAAATATATATAATGTATTAGTATATAAATATTATATGTAATATATTATTATATAAATAATTATATAATATATATATTTTTATTTCGAGCTAATACGAACCGAACACGAGCAAACAAAAAGTTATTTGTGTCCAACTCGTTAATAATTTGAGCTTTAAAAAATTATTCGTGTTCGGCTCATTTACTTAACGAATAAGTCGAATACGAGGTGTTCGCGAACGAGTTTTTTTGACAGCCTAAATTTATTACTCTAACACCACAGATCTTATAAAACTCATCAATGATTATTATTAATATTATTATTGAGTAAATAAAATCTTACCCATCCAAAGAAAATGGGCTTTTTTCTCCCCCTTTGGTAAATCGAAAATATTTTGGTGTTCAAGAAAAAAGAGTGCTACACTGACCGAAGATATTTTATATTAGCTGTGATTGTAGTTATCAGAAATAATTAATATTTTACTTTACTATTAATTCAAACCCACAGTC